CCGCCCGCCATGTTCCGGGAGGGCACCAGGAGGGTGCGGGTGCCCCACTCCTGCCGGGTCAAGGTAGCGGAGGGCGGAGGGTTGGGGCTGGGCGCCGGGCTGGGGGCTGCGCGGAGCCGCCGGGTCCCCTCGAGAAGGAAGCCCATCTCGCTTCCCTTCGCTCAGTCCCTGGGCAAACAGTCAGAACGCCTTTTCCCCCCGGTGTTTTGTTCTGCAAAAGTTTGAGGAGAAATTTTGCTTCCGCATTTTCAGGAAACGAGACTGGACGACTTCCTTTTTTCTTCTCATTTTCTCTCGGCTGGCCTTAGCAGAACATGTGCTTGCACGACCAGCCCCGTTGGGCCTTTGACAAGCACTACAGCAGGGCAATTTACTTTATTTTTTAAGCGAAATTCTGAGTAAAGGAAAAGAACTACTCACCAGGTTATCACTACTAGATAGACATTTGCTTCTGTTCAATACTGACGATTTATGATGCCTTGAATGGTCTTATAGCGCAGCGTCGCGGGGTCGGATGCTGTCGCGTCCGGACGGGGGTGGGATGCCGGAGCTTCGAGGCCGTCGGGGCGCGCGCGCGCACGGCGTGTGCTAGCGGGACCGCTGCAAACGAACCCTTTTCTGGTTTCAGGACTGCCACAGGTGCCACGGGCACGGCCGATCCAAATGCAGCGTGTGCCACGGCGCGGGCCGGGTAAGGCGCTGTGGAAACATTGTGCCAGGCGGTCCCCGCTTTTGCTGCTCCTTCTTCGTTTGGGTTTCAGCTGCAGAACTGCAGCACGTTCTGTCGCCTCCCCGCACTTCTTATGAGGGTTGGAAGCTTGAGAGAAAATGCTGCTTAATTCCAAAGTCGACACGGCAAACCCTGCACGTACATCTCGTTCAGCCCACACTCCAGCTGATGTTTCCAGGGTCTCCAGGCGGAGATAGTGAAATCCTGCCTGATTAGCAGAGAGCTACAGCAGCTCACCCCGTTTTTGACCGCTAACCTGCATGTTACCATGAGAGGAGGAAAAGGAGCATTTGCTTCTGCACTACTGAAACGAATCTTAGCCGTACAAGAGGGGACACTGCTTGCTGTCTTTCAGCTGCTCGGCTCTGCGTTCAGGCCTTGGGGAGGGAAGAGCCGCCTTAGCCCAGGGGTGCAAGCGCAGCTGCAGGTCTGGCCTCCTGCTTTGGACCTGTTCTTCTGCACAGATAACCCCAGAAGCTGCTAAAAGATGTGTTTGCCATTGCAGACAAGATTAAGACTGCTACTTAATTAAAGTTAACCTGATCAAACACAAATACTTTAAATGAAAATATACTAACTACATGAATTAATAAAAGCAGAAAAATGTGTACGTCTAAGGTAAAAGGCCTTTCACCTCAGAATGCGTCTGATTTATATCAGTAGTGAATTTGACCAAAACACCTAATTAATCCAGAGTTACAACCTGTGAGCTATTTCATATGCTCATTTGCGGTGTACCTACTTGGCATAACGTCGTTCTCCGCAAGGCTGCATTAGCAAACACTCCGATTACGTGCATAAAAACTTGTGGTTTATAAACCTGACACCTTGTCACTCTAGCAGTCGCAACCTATTTTAATGCATCGGTGCATTTGCAGACGCGGTGCGTAACGTGCAAGGGATCTCGGCGGAGGCTAAAGCAGCAAAAGAGATGCCAGCTTTGTTCAGGTACAGGTCGCAAAAGGTATGGTGGGCTCCTCTGCTTTTTCTTCTTTCGGGCTCTCTTTAGATGCTATTTCTTTCCCTTTTCTGCGTTTGTACACTAAAGATATGATTAGTTGAAAACAGTCGTGCAAGTTGGCTTCAGTGGAGGTCTTCAGGTGAGGCTCTGGCAGTGCTCAGGGGGGACAATACTAGAAAGTTGATAGCGGGGAGAAAGAGGCCTTAACCGGGTAGGTTCAGCCCCAAAGGCCTCAGCGGTGCGCGCTGTCTGCTGGCAGGCAGACGGGCCACAGCAGGGGCATGCCTCACAGGCCTGCACGCTTGTTTTGTCTTGCTACCGTGAAGGTCACCTGAAAGAGAAAGCGATACGGCAACGGCTTTGTTCTCCAGGAAAACTGGTTAGAAATAGCGTTTCTTCTCCCTCTGAATTCGAAATGATCTTCGGTTTTAAAACCTATTGTTCACATTGTATGTCCCGCTTTCAGCATTCAGAAACCCAGCTGGTACCCCAAAACTCACGAGGTACATTGTTTTTTTCCCTACTCTTTTTACCTTTCTGTTACAAGGCCATCACATTCCCCAGCTTTTCTTGGAAACTGGAGAAGCTCTGGGTTTTTTTAAACGAGAGCAGAGCTTCTCACAACTTGGGGAGCGGAGGCAGAAAGAAGGCGCCGACTCTCTCGAGGCTCGAGCCCCCGGCGACGCCGGCAGAAGCCACCGCGTCGGTGCTGGCGGGCTGCTCTGCCGGCAGCGCGTTGCCCGGGGTTAGGCGGGTTTCGGGGCTGGGGCGCCCTGGAGAACTACCACCCCATTGTTTTTCCAAACATGAACGCTAATAGGCTTTAAATGATCTTTAAGTGACCAAAAAAAAGGGGCACTGGTCTAAAAGTATGTTGTTTATGTGGCTCCATTAAGTTTAAAATAATAGAGGTGGTATCGTGCATAATCTTGGCAGTCATTTTAAAGCCTGAATCCACTGGGGCTAACGATGGCTTGAAGAGCCTTAATGAATCAGTTGTTAACTGCTGCTAATCTGGGCTGCGCGGAAGCAGTCGAAGTGCTCCGTGTACAAGCGTATGCCTCCTGCATCTGCTAGGAGCACAGGGAGTGGTGTCTTCAAAGTGACACCGCGGTGTAGGTTGATTAGATGTACAAATACATTCTTTGACTAATTCCACACTTACAAGTGGATTTGAAGCTGGCATTAGTCATTTGTTTTTCCCAACCAATATGCCGTATCCCTTGAGTCATAGACCCAGGGAAGACGTTACGCGCCGTGCATGCAGTATTATTAACTCCTTCAGCAGCTGACGCAGCCGAGCTAAAGTAATGGTCTTAAAATCATCTTCGGCTCTTCAGGCCTCTGAAGAAGGACAGCTTAGATAGATACTGTTTAAAACCTTTATCGTTGCCTCAAAAGGTGTAGTACCTGTTCTGGCCAGGGCAGCAAGACCTGTACGATGTGTCAGGGAGAGAAAAAGCTCCAACATTTCAAACAGCTGGTGATAACCTGGTGAGTAGCACAGGTAGGAGTTCATAGCTGTTACTTTTATTCCTTACCTGCCCTGATGGTTACATCCTAAGTGCTCTCCCACCTTTTGACAAAATGCCTTCCGTTAGCCTTTCTGAAGACCTTCCCTTTTCAAAATCCAGAATCTGTCCATCCTCATAGTGACCTTGCACTTGGGAATTGCCCCAGACGTGCTCATCGCACTGCTGGGAGGCAGAAGCCACCACTAAGGAAGGCGTCACAGATCCAGCCAGCACCAAGTGGCGAGCAGGTCACACCCGGACATCCCGTGTCCATCGCCCCCTACGAAGGACCTCAGCACCAACAGCCCCGTGGGCGCTGCGGTGGCACCACGGCCCCCACTGCTCTCTAGACACGCGTGGCTCTGCGAGACGAGGCATTCAGCTTCCTTTTGAGCCCCTCATCAGCTACTAACCATGCCTTTATCTTACAAGGAATAGGGAAAAATGGCTAATTGCAGTAGGATCTGTGGCTTTAAAATGAGAAAGTACGATCTCTCCTGCAGTAGAGCTAATAGGTCTAGAAGCTATTCTCAAAGCTGATCACCATGCAGATCTAATTTCTGGATTATTCATGCTAGAATCATCCACGGTTGTTGAATATCCAAGTTTATTAAGAAACAAATGCAGGAGAGCATAAAGGTTAGGAAGACCTTATAATGGTCCTCAGAAATCAGGGAGCACTCAAGCACTACTCAGGCATTTAGGCACAGTTTGGTAGATAGTTTGGTGTCTTAGAAACAACCGCTGAGCATTTGTTTTCCCCTCCCTTACAGGAAGAACAATGTCTTTGAATTTGTTTCTGAGCATCAGCTGGACTTTCCAGGAGAGCTGCTCAGTAAAGTCAACGGGGAGACCGTGTTCAGGGATGAAAACGTTCAGGTGAGCGTGAGCGTCCTCCCTGGACTCGTAGCATGGCTGCCACCTGCACCGCTGCCTGTCATCACGCCCAGATTCTGCTTTTGACATGGTAACCGCCGGCCTCGCTTGCAGCAGAGCTGCTGAGCTCCCGTTCATGGGAATACAGCTTTTTCTGTTTCCATGTTCAGGGGAAGCTTAAGGAGAAACTGGATCATGAAATCCAGCAAATATATATCTTCTCCCATCAGTAGCCCCTGGGAGGCCGTGATTCCCCTTCTCCCTGCAGGTGTTTTGATGAGGGGGCGCAGAGGCTGGAGCAGAGGTGCTTTAATAACAGAATATTGCCACCTGAAGGTACCCTTCAGTATCCGACAATACAGCACCAAGGACAAAATAACAGAAAGGTTTTAGACCACTGGCCCTGTACAATGCAGAACACACTCAGTTTCCATGGAGAAATTTTGACTTGTTGATTCATTTTGCCTCTTGCACTTTTCACACTGATGGCCCCTGGACAGCTTTCCCAGGAGAAGGCTGTGGCTTTGCGGACTGCCCAGATGAGAGCCTGGAGCGCTGGCGCCGTATCGTCCCGCAGACACAACCCCTTCCCCCTCGGAGCCTCTTGGGAAGCTCATCCTACTGATGAGGACTTGTCCAGCCCATTTTGGGCCTGGGATTCAGCCCCCGGGAGCTGCTGAGGGCAGCGGCTGCTCTGTCTGGGTTATTGCAGGGATCAAAAGTCACAGAGCCCTTCAAGCAAAATGTTAATCAAGTGCTTGGCATTTGCTCTCTTTCACTCCTCTAAATTCAGGACTTCCAGGGAGAATCTTCTCCTTACACCACCAAAAGCATGTGGGAACCAGCCTGAAAGTGACTGAAATACAGCATTTCTTCCTCTTAGAGACACTTCCATATTTGTGCAGTTCTCAGTCTGATTTTTTTGTTTATGTGAGTGGAAATGAGTGAGGATTTAACTGTGCCTTTTCCTTATTTATTTGTCGTTTTTCAGCAGCCTGTAGAAACTTTAGTCATGTACTGAGGCTCTGAGCTAGGCACCACGCAAGCACGGACCAAAGGGCCCTGCTCCCCACAGAGCTGTTGCTCAGGGCCATGCCTCGCTAGTAAGGATTTTGCAACTGGTGTTGCAGAACTGTGCTGGGATTTATGCGACGCTTTAGTATCTGAATTACTCCTCAACAAATGTTTCAGATCCCAAGTCCTCTGGGCACTGAAATCAGTGGGACCTTAGCATAAATGGCTACCACTCATGACTGATTCTGACAGGTTTTGCCCGCAAGCCCAAAATGTCTTCTGTAAATTGTCCACATGCTGGGGAAAACAGAGGGGCTTTGCCCAAAACCTTTCAAGTTTAACAGTGCTGTGCTCTTGGAACAAGGTGCGTGCAAATCCCCTTGGGACACTCTTTTTTTAGCGCAAGGCGGTCGGCTGGAGGACAGCAGCGTCTTCCAGCGGCTGCCCTGCTCCACGAGAAGAGTGTTAGCCTGGTCCCTGTTTTGGGCACTCCTGCATCTTTCTGACCGTGATACCATGCTGGGATGGGCATGTCTTTGGGGCTTTGGTCTTAGTACTTAATCTGCATTTTTTCTGCTATGAGCCCAGGTCCTTCCTTGTATATTTGATAAGAGGTGAAATGAATATATTTCTGCCAGATGAACAGGGTCTTTTTTTAATATGGTCAGATCTGTTTGTTTCAGGTGTACCCCATCATTGACTTTCCTGAGCCGGCGATCTCCCTGGCCTCGCAGCGAGCCATCGCCGAGCACAACGCCACGTCTGCCGCGTCCTCCCGCATTCTGCAGCAGGTAAAGGGAGCCGCGAGACCCGCGGGAAAGTGCCCACAGGCTCTGGCCCTGATAATTTACTGGTTAAGCTAATTATGGCTGATTAGTGAGCTCGATTAGGCACAATAAGATGTTGAGATTAATTACCAACTTTGTTAATTATTTAGAGGTGATTTTTAGCATACAAAAGATAAATTCTTCAGTGAAATACCAGGGAAATCATTTTTCAGGAAAGGATTGAACTATGAAGGAGACTGTGGTTATTACTGTTCCTTTCACCTTTTCAAAGGAGTTGAAAAGGAGCTGAGGAGTTAATTTTGAATAAACGCTAGGATGCCGTTGGGTCTGGTTCTGGCTAGAATACGGTAATCGCTGTTGTTCCTATTAGAAAAGTCATTACAAATGCAAAAGTTTAGCTAGACCATACTGTCTTTTTACCCACAGGAAAGATAAGGTTTCACATTAAAAATGCAAGTAAATTCAAAGACCAAATTAAACTTAAAAGGAGACTATTTGACTTTCCATGGGGTGTTTCAAAGCCAGCTCTTTGGCAAATTCCTGTCTTCCAACTTAATTCCAGGCTATGATTTCCACTTCTCAGCAGCAAAAGCAGTTTGTTCACTAGATTGATACACACCCTCCAAAGCACCCTGTAGTCGTATGGCAAAGCAGGTGCTGAAAATCTCCTGCAATGCCAAATCCCTAACACCATGTGTTGTTTACTTAGATCTCGGCGCTTTCCGCACCGTTTAGTTTTTCATCCATTCCACTTGTTGCTGGCTAAAGTTCTTCTGCTTAATAATCAACAGCTTTTGGAGAAAGAAAATACTCTTCTAGCTTATTTGCTTGGCTGCTTCAGTCCTAGTTTCTTATGAAGTTGGCCATATGTCGGAAGTAAATATCAGGCCCATAAATATCTTCTTGGCTTAGGGTGGCTATAGCCTGGCAGATTTTGCCGGCTTCATTGAGCTTTGCTTGAAACCACGACTTTGTGCGTAATTGCAACAAGAAATTAGGACGAGGATGGCCATCTGAACATCATTACCTCGTGAGAGCGGAGGATTATTGCTCAATAACCTCCCGTATCTCCCAGTGCGTTCTCCTCCGCTTGGCCCTTCGCTAAAAAACCGAATCTGGAAGGGGAGCGACAGGCTGCCCTCGCCTCC